TGGGAAGGGTTTGAATCGGGTGCGTGCTCCAAGGGTGTCGCGAGGTTTATCGAGGTGAAGGTAGCAGGACTTGCTGAAATGGGATTTGTAGCTGATAGAACGGGTGAGGAACCATAAGCGGGAGTGACGGTTTCCTCCAAATACGCCGGTTACACCAGGTAAATACTGACGGTCTCACATTTGTCTTTGCGCTTTATTACGCAGGCTTTGCAGAAAAGTCGGCGTACCTTATAGCGGATTCCATGCAGAGCTTACAGGGATGTGCAAACCTCTGTCCTGAGAAAAATATGCGATCGTTCTGCCAATATTGGGGTAGGTATACTAGAGGCGTTTGCTGACAGGGTGGTTGCATGTGCAACTGGAGCATACGGTGTACGTAACGAGCTGCAGTTCAAATAAATTGGTGGGGTCGGTGCAACAATTTCCCCTGGAAGACGCAAGGTGAGACCGAAAGTCAACTTTGCCAGTGTGAACTGAAGATCAGCTTTCAAAGATGATCTGCAACCTAAGAGGACTAAAGGTAAAGACGCCTTCCATTTTGAGTTTATCTGCACCACCAAAGCACTTTTCAGTTGTCGATAAAAACGTTTGACCATCCCGTTGATTGCCGGGTGGTAAACAGTCGTCTGGACGCAGCGAATGCCTAGGTGCTTCAGCAGTTGTAGATTTTCAGTTTCCACAACCAATAACCATGTATTTTCATGCTCCGATTTTGGTTGCTGTCTTTTGAATGATCATTTGGATAAAAGAGCAGAATGAAGATTAGAGTGTTAACGGAAGAGTCAAAGAGAAAATATACAAAGATAGACTGAGGCTGCAAGCATATAGAGTAGATGCACGAGTGCCACTGTTTCCGACACCCAGTCATATCATTTAAAGTCTATAAACACTGGTTACCATAATCTAGGGGTGCCTATCCAGGGACCTCCATGACTCAGTCTCCTGGTTAGGGCTTTTGTACCCTCATTCTAAGTCTTACTTTGTCCACTTGTTCTAGAGGACGGTCGCGGCCAATTAAAAATCTGCGCCTTACCTCAGCACTGCTTGTCTGAATGCACTACCAGACTCGTGCAATGCGGCGTAAACAACGGTGTTTGGATAGCGACAGCCTGTTTTTATCGTGTTCCGGTAATGACCGAGTCGCAGCACCGCATAGCAGCACTGGACGGACTGTTGCAGCATACACTCAACACTTCACGGACAGCGAGACATCGCCGTAAATGTCTTACCAGCTAACCAGCATTGACGGCCTTCCAATAAGCTTTCTTACGAATATCCCAATGCGCGCGACCTTCAAGTGTCTCGTTGCCCGAGGTAGACAAAAACACTCGTGGGGGTTAAAGACGTTTATTGGCGAATCTTTGTACTAGATAGTACCGAAACGTGCCCTGGTGACGCTAAACAATGCAAGCTATAAATAGCAATAGCAAAGCGAAAGCGTGTCACACGTGTTGCCTGGGTTTGAACTGGACCCAGCTTATATATACACCTGAGTGGAAAACCGTGCTCAATAAAACAAGGAGAAGTAAAATAAAGAAGAATCACAGTTGGATTCAAGGTTGATTGTGAAGAAAATATGAACGGAAAACGTCCTCGTGGATTGTTCCTTTTCTTCGTCGAATCATACTCACTACACATGTGTGACCTTGAAGCTATGTCTAATCGTTCCCATTGCGGAAAAGCTTGTAGCAAATGGGAGATGTAGCTCGTGTAATGAACATACAAGACCTTTTACCACACAAACAAAGGTTTTACGAACGCTAACACTTGATGATTGTTTAGCAGTGTGAACCTAGTCTAGATGTATGTGATCACCAGATGACCTGGAGACAAGCCATGAAGAAATGCACAGAACTCTTCGGTAAAGTAGGTGTCTCGCCCCTTTTGGGTTGAAGTTCGAATGACTTCGCAGCTTGTTGTTTGAAGACATTGAAGGATAATGCAGCGAATCGAAAGCACTGGCATTCTTCTCGTCATTTCTTATCGAACCAGAGTGCCTGAAATGGTATGTATGCATAGTTAGGTTGTGTACTTTGTGTGATGAATGCAAGCGTTCACCTCATGGCGCAAGTTCCCATCCGGCACCCCCCTTGTTATTTGCTTATTCTTGAATCGTTCTGAAAGCGGCCACTTTAAATTATTTCAAAAAAAACGTGTTTACGTTTTTAACATATAATTCAAAGTTTAATTTATTAAAATATTGGAGTGCATTTTTGTCTGATTTGTCTTAATTTGTGACCTTGAAACAAGTCAGACGGCTCTAACATGTATCGTATGCCCCACCAAATTCAAGGAGAACCGTGTGTTGAGTATATGCAGGACCACCATCTACTTCCTAAAACACGTACCAGTGCATGCGGTCACACAATGAACATGCAGGAGTTATTGTTAAAAGCAAATACGGTCAAGGTCGTCCGACACCCACTGTGTGGATGTTCGGAATGTACGACTCTATAACTGGTCTCCATACGAATGATTTTGAGTCTATTCTGAGTAACATCAAAAGGCGATTTAAAACGTTACCGGGTCAGTGGGTGATGTTATATGGGAACATTTGGATGAAATTCAGTACCGTATGCAGTTTAAATTTTCCGTACAAACGTTTAATAATGACACCGACACCTAGTTACGACACGTCGCGCAGTTCTATTTATGTTGAACGACATTTACGATTTATTACAATATTCTTTCCATTATTATTTGCGTCTTTTTTGGTGTGTACATTTACACAACTTATGAGTAGTATTTTTATTTTTACGAAAATTGCCGAAAGGGGTACCAGATGGTAACATGAGCCCACTTTATTCCTTTCCCATCAAAATAAGTCCAACCGTTGTCCACCTTACATATTGCCACTAACTTTGTATGCATTGCGAGTTTGGAAGCAATCAGCGAGGTTCGCTTCACTGTACTTGACTTTAGGATGATGATAATGATGGAGAGCCATATATCAACTTGTTCCGCGACATATTTTTATTAAACCGCAGTTGCTCTTGTGTGGACCCCGAGGTCTCAGTTTAACGAACCAATTTATGTGAATCACACTTTTCTTCTAGAATTGCTTCAACTTAGCCTAGATGATTCTTTCTAAACCTTCAGTTTTGTCTTTTGTTTTTCGATCTAGCTGAAAGCGAGTTTCATGCACAAGTATTTCTTCTATTTATTTGACCATCTTCCTCATTGAGAACGACAAATCGGAAACCTTTGTCGGATTTCGTAAGCAAAACTGACCTGTTACGCTTATAATTGTACGGGTGTTTAGAGCTCTTCCTCGAGGACCAGTTCAGTCTGCTGTTTGGTCAACGCAGTCTTGAATGTCTGTCCGGTCTAGAATTTCACGAGCTCCAAAGGTGACGGGCAGTGGTAGCCGAGTGGCAAAGATCAGCGAATTATCGCCCTGGAGGAAGTGTGCTCGAATCTCGCCACCCACGTCGAATTTCCCCTATCTTGTACCGTGTGGGAGTTTTTTGCTTGGTCGCTTACCCTCCATAAGAACTGTATCGTTATATGTTAAATAAAAATAAATACAATGAGAAAATAAGAGAAGGAACAAGGTAGTCTCAACCGTATAACAAAAAATCTAAATGGAGAGGAGACTGTGGCTAGAATCGCACGATTTTTACCACTACCACCACCAACACCGTATTGAAGATTTCCAATTCGCCCGCTTACAGAGATCCATGTCTCCTACTGCTCTTAATAATTGATTCTTTTCAATCTAAGGTGCTGTTATGCAGTTTGATAGTGAGAATTTGACTGTATTTCAATCTATTGCAAACTGGAGTAATGAGCTTCAAAAGCAAAACGACACATGAATGCATCACATCAGTGTATGACACTATGATACAAATACCACAATCACGCACCAAAACACCGGATGAAAGGAATAAGGATTCAGAGCAGGATGTTGCGGGAGTAGGTTGTTTGTACGAAGTGTGTATGTAGGAGACGGATTCAGCATGAATGTGCCACCAATAAAAAACGGATGAAACCAATGAAAATGCGTAGAAAGAAGACAAATGACTGACTGACTGACGATGCGCTCACTAAAGTTGAATGCAGAGGATCGCAATGTTTACAAATATACTACCTGATTAGGAAAAGTTTAAAATTAAAAATTTATAAGAAAAAAATGAGTTTTACATGTCTGTATCTGTTTCACAATGATAGAAGAATGTATCCCAACAGTCTCCATATGTAAATATAAATGGTTTATCGTAAAGCTGTATCTCCTGAGAATTAGTATCAGAGCAAAAACAAAAAAGAAACAAGTAAATGAAAGATTCAACACCGTGGAAGAAAAAACAACAACGGACAAATAGTTTGGACAGGAGTAAACTCGAAGAAAGATCAGTAAACAATGAAGCTCGTAAATAAGTGGATTCTCTCACCGTTGAAAGAAAGTAATTGTGAACTGTTTGGGAAGAAAAGTTTGATAAAGGTTGGGGTTGGAACTCACCGGCATAAGGGGAACCGACCGAATAGGATTGCGAGGTAGATACCACATCGAATTCAGGTAGTGCACATCAAAAACGCATAAAGGGCTCATCTCGGTTCAGAAAAAGAGACTGAGGACAGAAAACTAACCCAACTGGATCCAGTTGATCAAATAGCATTCGGCAGCGNGATACCACACACGAAGTCTTTGTGAAACGAGCACAATTTAATCAACAACTTTTTGAGGAGCATATGTTTGGAACTGGACATTTCGGTTGAACCCAATCCAGGCATCAATTCACACAGGCGATCAATTGTATCCGCATTCAGTTCACCACCTTTTCCTGAGGAATGAAGAATAGTGAGAAATGAACATCGTGCAGATGGATTTCACACACGTTACATTCAGTTTGATTTCTCTCAAGGGACAATACAATCAGAACTTTTCAGATGATAATTCAATAAGTTTGGATATTAACTTTTCATCGTCTGATATTTGTACACGAGGCTCTAGCATGACCTACTCTTTCACTTCATTATTTTAACCTCACCTTGTGTTGCCATACTATCGCAATCTTAAAATCGGTATGAATTCCCGCAAGTTACAACATGTTTCTGCTGGATGTGAGGAATTTTCTTTCTGCTGCAAGTAGACGTGGTGGGCTTTTCGCTCGACTTTTGAGTGTCGCGTAGCCATCCGAGCACTGCCACAACCATGGTCTGCGTTCGGTTCCTAAACAAGTTAGCTGTTGTTCACTTGCCGATCGCTATCATATGGTGATTTGTACTTTTCAAATGACCCAGGGATTGTCACCGGTGAGAGTTGCCGAATGGATGAGGCGACTATAGAGAGCTAGTGGGATTGAAGATAAAAACCACTGATGGCGATCTATGGCAGGTAATTTTGACCATAAAAGTGTTGTGGTACTACTGATCACATTGTGGAGAACAAAGAGAAGCCATTAATTTCGGTAGGTAATTCACTATGTGCATCTTGAACAATAGTATTCGGAGGTACATTTAATGGTTAATTCAACTTGGTTACATTTAGCGCGGACAAAGAAAAACTGAAAGACGGTAATCAAGTATCGTTTGACCCACATGCAATGGATTTACTTCCACACTCCAGTCAAATTATATACTGTAATCTGCATATTACGAATGAATGGTAACCACTGAGAGTGAGAGCTGAGATGACCGAAGTTAGTCATTCACATTCAGATTTAGGAATTTCGTACATGGACTCAATTAGATCAATCTGCCGTTTACTAGGTAGTTTGTGTGCTTCTGTTCTGTTTAAACGGTCCCGGGTTCGGTTCACGGTAGGGTTCACGAAATTTTGCTATCAACATTGCCAGCAAGATTAAAATGACCCTATCGATTTAATCGTTGCTCTTTTTGTGACGCTTTCCATTCAATGTTCATACCAACTTATAAATACCACGAATTAGGCTACTCGCTAGAACGAAAAAATGAACTGATGCGCAGAAATGAGACTTACCATGACAGAGCAATAGACCTCGAAGAAGGCTATACATTTGCGTGGAAAGATTTAATTGGGCGCTGAGTCTTTTTATTTTGGACAATATATCCATTTTGGTTTGAAAACAGTAGCTATCTTCATTGGTAAATGCCGATCCCAGGCTGGTGGATTCCGCCGTCCATGTATCTGGGCCTCGCTCCAATACACACAACACATAGAGCAGATGCCATGTGTCTTGAAACAGACCGATACGATCAATTTCAGTTCGGGACAAAAGTTGAAAAGTGAGTGCACCTAATCTTTGCACGATCGCGTTCCGATCACAAGGATTCTCCAAGTCTCCGGAAGGTCCGGTCGGAATCGGATTGAAGCAATCGATCAACAAAGCTTCGGGATGTTTAATAAATTGTACCAAATAATTCAGTATCGGATCGGATCTCAATTTTGTTAGACTATCAACGAGGTGAGCAGAGGTTCGTGATCGTTTTTTGATCGGACTAGTACACCACTGTACATTTCCCTTGGACGGTAGAGAAGATAGACAGGAAGACGAGGAGGGTCCAGCATTATCCTGCCCGACGTCCATTAGGTTCGATGGAGAAGTGATCGATTCACTAATTCGTCCACTTCTGATTGTCGGCATCACGCCGTACAGCGTAGTTAAAATTCTCTCCACAAGTGAATGCGCAATGCGTTGCATTGGAGGTGGAGGTGGATCAGCAAGTGTGGATTGGTCCGCATTTGGAACGTGTGTGTGGATGTGTGGAAATGAGGTTTCAAGGGGTTCAACCCTTCCGTGCTGGTTGATAATTCCGGAGGGTTGTGCGGCTTCAGGAGGTTGAAGTAAGCATGAACCTACCTTGTCATAGAAGTCAAATTTTCGAGTAGCTGGAGTGTTGCGCATAGGAGGAGGACATGTGAGTTGAAAGTAGCATTCGAAGAATCGGTTGATTTCTTCAGATTTAGCAAATGGTTTTGGATTGGTCAGTTGTGTAGACTGAGGTTCTTTGGGGTGAGAAATTCGTGGTTGTTGAGCGTTGAACGTTCTATCGAGAAGGTTGGTTATTTTCTCTTGTGTAGGCGGTGAGTTTAACCCTGAGTAAGTGATCTCAGAACAACCTGATTGATTCAATAACATGTTCAAAATATCAGAAATCAAAGGATTAAGGCCATCTGGATTTGGAAGCGAATTGGATATATTGGTCGCAGGCGCGAATGTCGGTGCAACAGGATGCATGGAAGCTGCTTTCCCCAGAAACCGGCTCACATTCTCGCCGCAGCGCGGCACCGAATCATGCTCAAAATCAAGACGATTTGGACGATCTAAACGACGACGGCAATCGTCAAACAGTTTCCGGAATCTTTTTGTTGAGTTTGACTCACCTGGTCCACGCATTCTGTTCTTCAACTCTTCAACGGGGACTCCAGTTGACTTTGGCGACGAAAGATCAAGAGGTTGTTCCAGTTGAAGTTCTCCTCCATTCGTCTTGCACGCTTTTGAAGTAGCTTTGTTTTTTCTTTTGACGTGCAAACCAGAAGCCAATGGGTGACCTCGGAACCACCGGTCGACCTTGGACGTCTTGTTGGGGGTAGTATACAATCGGTTACGGTAAAGCTTTTGTTCATGAAGTTTTTCAACTCTCAACTTGTTGTAGGAGTTTGATGATGTACGACTGTGTTGAGTGAATGACAGCAGTGACGAATCGGGTTGTGCATGCTCATTTGAAGTAGCTTGTTTTTGTATGGCTTCACCATCTGAGGTATTTTCGTAACATGTGTTCACATTTTTCACTGGTCTTAGCGGTTTTCTGCGCCTCATGCCATTACAGGACGTTCCGTTATGACCATTTGTTTGACGTTTAGCTGAGAGTAAGAACAATCGACTTCGATGACATGCTGTGTTCACATTCTCACGACCGGATAAAAGATCATAGAGGATACTGCTTCTACCACGATCGGAAACAATATTCGACGAGTTCGAATTGCTTCCCTCTGAAGTCAGTCCGACTGAATCAGATCTTCCTGGATTCATGTTTTGGTTTGCCACTTTGCTATCATCGCTCGAAACGACCACTGTAGCAACGGGTGTACTTCCGTCTACGATGGGTGACTTAGGATTGTCCGTGGCATCACTAATAGGTCTACCAGCAACCAAATCTGCATGGTCATTTGTGCAACCGTTGACCGTGGTTCTGACAAATTTACGCTCGTTTTGCTCCGAAAGTGACAAAGCCTCAGCAGCAAGTCTGTAAAGTGAGACAAATAATAGAGAGCTGGTGATCAGGTGATGCCGGATGTGAAAGAGCTGATAAATCAAATATTTTCTGGAGTCACTTGACCGTTAAATAGAAACTTTGGTGACTTATGTTTTTAGCTAGTTAAAATAAACGCTGTTTCCTGACAGATTTGGTTTGAAACAACATACCTGAACTGGTGAGCATATGCAAATTAGTCATCGTCGGTTTTCAGATTGTAAATTTATGCTGAACAATAACGGACAACAAGTTGGCTGTTTGGTTCCGTTATCTCCTCCTTTTTCGTGAAAAATCAAATTATTTTTTTAACTTTGTTGCACCTGCGCTTATTGATGCAGAAACATTTATCTATTGAAAAGCAAATCTAGCGGTCGTTTGATGTTCATTACTAACAACAACAACCAAAGTATACATGATTGCAATCGTTTTCGACCATCCAATCTGAAATTATTCTCTGATAAGTAGTCAAGTTTGAGATGTTTGAAAGCGAGTCATAACCCCGGAGGTTAGTGCTGAGATGAGCAACGTGTGATGACCGCATTGGGCTCCTGAAGATGGGCTGGGTTATGTCTTGTGTAGGAAAATTGAGAACGGTCCGAGTAGCTGTCCGACGGATGAGTAGGTAGTAGGCTTACGTTCTATTTGTAGGTTCCCGGGTTCGATTTCTGACCTAAGTAGATATAAAAAATTTGTGCAGTTCTACCTGACTTTTCGTTTCATGCTTTGTAAGACAACATGTGCTGCCTAGTTTGGTAATATGAAGATACAGCTCAATGACCAACAGGATATCAATTTAGAGTAATAAAGTGAAAACTTAATTCAGTGGACGTTATTTTTTGTCTAAATATAAGTTTGTAGCAGATTGTAAGGCCAATGTAGTAGTGAACAAGCGCGCTTTCGGTTTTGCATTCATTGGCTAATACATCAGTTCTAACGCAGTGATTTGGCAAAGGATAAAGGATAAGAACTAGGGAAGACAAAAACAGAATAGATTGAAGAGATGCTGTCCAAAGTGCTCCGTGGTTTACAGCAGAGGAATCTTACAGCTACTATCATATTTAAACACATCCGACCCACTGAAACTACGGCTCCAGTATGCAGAAAATGGAGTACATCTTAGACGCATTCCAAACGCATNAACGCATGTTACTCCTCATGCATAACCAAGGGGTTAGTAGCGATCCTACATCAGTTGAGGGCAGAACGTGCCAATCATGCAGGAAACGATTCTTGTGACTTGGCAGACAAAAAACAGAGATTTAAATGTCAACGTACTACGCAGGATATCACTGAATGTCAATTCCCATTGCAGAAACTACTGAAATACACGTGTGACTTTCCGCATTGTTGTGTTTTGTACGACCGCCCTTTGATTGCCCACTTCGCTCTTCCTGAAAACCGTATCAATTTATATTCAAACAAAGAACGTAAATTAATGATAATAATCACTATATGCAAAACGGTAAATGTGAAATCAGCATCCCAGTTGGTTATCTGAAACAATAAATACACTAAACAGGCAATTAGAATTCAATGAATGAATCTATCTTCAAATAAATGGGTTGATTATGGGTTTTTCATCTGGTCCACTTTTATCAGAAATCTACATGACTCAATTGTCCAATAAAGTCCTTCAACGAACAAGGAATCATTGCTGCTTCTAAAAGCGAAATGTAGATATTATTCCGAGTTTTACTGACGACACTGAACATGTCCAGGCTTCTAAAAGTGTGCTCTACTGAAATGTAAAGTTCACCCTGAAGAAATAGGAACTTAGTAAATAGCGTTCCTGATGTTTTTTACCGTAATGTCTTCGAGGCAAAACTCTCAAGCCCGTCAGGAACTAATCAAAATGTTTGCTTCAAAAGGTTTACACCATTGTAACCTGTTTTATTAGCTGCCGGCTAGTACGCGGGTACTATGCACGAACTATAAGCTTAAGGATTAACTAAGATCTACTTGAGAATTCTTCTGTCAGAACCGACTATACAGAATGATTTAAAGACAATGTTTTAAGGCGCCACATGTTACTAAACAAGTCCACTATCAATGAAAACAAAGCAGCTAACAGACCCCGCTTTCTAAGGGTGCGAATAGCCGAGAGGGTAACGCGTAAGCTGACCACTGCGATAGGAAAGAAAATTTTCATGATCAAGCCTTGAGTTATGTTTTTCTTTGGTTTACTCTTGTTTTCGCGGCTCAGAGGTAAATTGCCGGTTTCTGTGAAACTTGGCCTACTGATCGCACGGGCAGACGTTTTTTCCAGTTAGCCCATAGTCACAACCCGGTTTGACTGGATAGTGTTGTGTTCAGATGCATCACAAACTCGATCGTTTCTTACATTTAGGAGTCAAAGCAGTTAGCTGAAATCACTATGGTATTTCAATCACAACTAGCGATCTAATGAAATTAAAAGTCACATTTCAGATACAACGAAAGTGTTTTGAACCCATCTGCATTACTGTTTTCTGATTTCGCGAAAACAGTTCGCAGGATGATTGGATTTTCACATTTGACATTGTCACTCCCCACTTAAGCCTCATAAAATAAACCAAAGCATCTGTTTGATGAGTAAGATGCGATCCAATTAGTGTTACGAAACCAGAAAACTTACTTCATTGTTCACTCCCTACTGAATCCATGTCCCAAACCGCATGTTAAAATCCGGGATTAATTGACCTGCGAATGAACCACCGAAAATGAGCTTACTCATTACTGAATGCTTTTCTGAAAACATGTCGGTTAGCCTAAACATGAAACGAGAGGATGCTCAGTACTGATTTTGCTCCACATTCTGTTTTATTGATTACTTCTCATCCTGACAGCGAACTATTGTTTTTGTGGAGGAAAATAACATGTTAGATTCGAAAAATGCTCGGGAACCAGTTTCACGTTTCCACTTCCCGCTTGATTCTCTGTTGCTCCGAACCATCATCCATTGCCGTCGGTCGATGTTCGTCTAACTTGATACACAGGTAGATGTCGTTGATCTGCAATGGGAGGTTTGTCGTTGAAGGACTAATGTATTGCTGAGGTGGGTTGCACTGGACATGCATTTCGGTCTTGTTCGATATCACCCACAACACAGTTCAGCAGTCTTGGAGGTTATTGACTAAAGAAACCAGCAAGCAGAAGACATGCACGTATATCGCGAACTCATCTGCTGAACACCTACGTACACTGAAAGAGTGTGTTGGCAAACGGTATGATGAGGTAACCGGTCTTTGTTACAGTTCTCGCTTACATCAGCGTGAATCTTCAGTGAAATGGTTATTAAACGATAGTTGGGTCTGGCTAATATGTATGAGGCGCATCTGAAATCTCTGATGCCGAAGTAGATGCGTTAGATCGCCAAGGTCGGATACACTCCAATGCTGGTGGTGATATTCACGTTTTGCTTTCCGTATTTCGTTTACTAGCCATCAACGACTCAGGTCTTCCTACAAAAATCAATGGCATATAACCGTAATTGTAATGTCTCTCACACAAAAGCAGAACCGAAATATTCAACACTGTGGACACATCTAACTGCATGGTTTTTTGTGCGGAAAATTCGGCTGAATGACTGATTACTTATCGTTTGTATTTGATAACAAAAGTGCTGAGCCAAACATCGTTTCCTAAAGATGATATTCAGTTGCATATTGGTAATCCAAAAATGTATTCCAATTCATTTTACCGAAGAATGTAGCATAACAATCGCATGATTCAACTCGAAGGGTTTAGAAACATTACAGACTTAAATCAGTTCATAAAATGATTTTGTTCGGTTACAGGTGTGCAGGGAGCACAACGCGCTAAATTCATTCTGCTACAGAGAGACCTACTTTCATCGCCGTTCATAGGTTTTGTCCTTACTGTTGGGTTAGACTGTCAGCAGTCATGCCCCGGTCTAACTGGGTTACCCGGGCCAATGTGGGGACGTTGCTCGGGAAGAGGTCAAGAGACAAATTGTTTTGTCTGGCAAAACATAGACATGCAATCGGTTTAGTGTCCAATAACTTGTGCTCGGTCGTCATGTTGGGTCATGCGACAACTCGCACCACGCAGTATGGAGCGAATATGAACTGTGAAAACTGATCGTTAAATTTTCTGCTCTCAGTCGTCTGCTTTCCAAACAGCAGACAGCAGGCATTCTGTGAGCTTGATGTGCGGACAAGTGCACCGCTTAATCGACCACTATATCGTTTGTCTCATAAAACTCATCTAAACTCGAGTATGTACCGAAACCGGGCCTTCCCAGTTATCATTCTGAGGATGGAGGTGAACTGATACTGACTATTTCATTTTTAGATTCAAGGCAAAGTTGTGCGCACGAAAATATCTACAATTTGTTTAAGATAACTCGATCTTTCAATTCATCTTCTTTAAGTAAGCAGTCAATCCGTCATCAGCGGATTGGTCATTCAGAACCTATGACAGATTATTTAATTCTCGTGAGGCAACAAAACTCGACATACGAACAAAATTATCTGATACTCACCAATTCATCTCAGCTCCGTAGTGGCAAAACTTTAAAATAACAACAATTAATTCAACAAAACGAAAAGAAGCGTAACAAATGGCTAGGTGGTTACCATATTTACATGTGCGTGCGTTCTATTGCACATATTTACTCAACTATGTATGTCAATTTTCCCAGTCGGGAATTCAAATAAACTTATCCCATCATATCGTATGTTCTACCACAAAAACACCGTTTATATCGTTTTAAATCATATGATCCAATCAGATGAATAAGAATACTAAAAATAGGTGTGGCCTTTTTACCACCCCCGTTCACCTTCACGTGAATACCGTCACGCGTCTGCTTCGTAGAATAAGAGCCACTAGACCAGTCTCGTAATCAATTGCTGACCGGACGCGAAGTTCTAAATTCGGGTTCATCAACAGAGAAGATGATGAGAATAAAATGAGAGCGTGTTGCACAGTTCCGGTGCGGCGTTTACGATGATTTTGTTTGTTCCGTCAATCAGGACGACTGGACTCAAAGATGAATTTGGTTAGTCAGTCAACCAGCCAGTCACCGTAACCTTCTGGATGGCACAATTTTTGGAGTGAATCCAGTCATCTTTTGGCGGGGAGAGGGATGGGGGGGGGGCTGATGGATCGATCTACTGGCAAAAAAGTTGATTGCATAAAAGACGGCTATGACTTGATAGGTACAGCAGTTCGATTGGTCACTTAATCTTTGCTAATGCGAACCTCGACCTTACACGGTGAGTGTAAACGAAGAAGCAGCCTCATCCCCACCACGATTCAGGTGACACCATCGGTATTAATCAAACTCGTGCAACATCCTGACATTTGTCACATTTGTTCCTCCCAATGCTGAGTGTCCCGAGAACCATTCAGGGGATTGGATATGATACATCCTCACATCAGACGCAACATATCCGTACCAATATCTACTTATGTTTCTGCTTCTAATAATCGAATGCCGATAAAATGTACTCTTTCTGGATTTTGACGACGGTTGCTGGTGTCACTCAAAGTATGCACTTTTTATGGAGAAAACTTCTGAACAAGGGGATTGAAGAGCATGAATCAGGGTAACCACCGATCTGTATCACTGCAAATCAACAATTTTTCGCAACAGCCAACAGGATGACTACAAAGGGTTAACAGTTTCGCTTGGTTTTACCAAAAGTATACGCAAGTGATTAGAGCAAACCACACTTTCGTAGAATATCTCAGTTTTTCATCTAGTTTCGCTTTTAGCATCGCTTTCTAACTCATCTTAGTATTAAATGTGAAATTGGCAATTTAACACATAAGGTAAAAGGATCTTTTCAATGCCCCTCAGATTTCCAGCGGAGGGGTTCAGAGTTTTGGACCCCATCAATATTTTTAATTAAATGTGGACAAGTTCTTCATGGAAATAACTTTCATAAAAGTCGGAATATTTTTCCAATTCTATATTTAATGTAGCCCACAGATTTCCAATAGAAGACTGTAGCTTACCGATATCAAGATTCATGTCGCAAGCATTGGTTCCTCATTAACTGCCGATCGAACGTTTCTTCTCGTGCATCAACCATTTTGGACAAATTCTTGTTTTTGATATATAAATACCATTTGTTTTTGAACCTGTATTATGATCTGATAGAATGCCTGCACCACAGCTGTCGAACTCGCGAATAAAAGGAAAGTCAGATATTACTGTTTCGTGGGTAATCAGGCGTTCTACCACAAACGGGGAGAACAGAGCGGTCATCGAAGTGCGTCTCGTCACAGAGAGACAATCCAGTCTTTTTCCATCGCAAGGTACGGGTAGGGGTAAATATCCCCTGAAATGACCGGAAGCTTATGAGTGATCAGTGGCTTTTCGAAATCGCTCAGGTGTTTGCACAACAGGGAAAATCCGAAACGCTAGATCCCACATTTCTGCTAATTGCAATCCATGGTTCGAACTTTGAGTGCCGCCACAATATGAGTACCACGAGCGGAAGAATGCCTTTTCGTTTTTAACTGAGGCCGTTGTAACTTGCAGTGAATCTATTAATAACGCTCAACTGGGAGCCCCACGAGGCAAGTGATGCGATGTTCCTCACACGACACCCAGTGGTTTATCACAGCGCCCGTCCAGTAGGAAGGAACCAATCTCTCAATAAACAAATAAAAGTATTTTTTCAGTGAGTTACCAAAAGAGCTGCAGTTTCACTAGGATGAGGTCTGACTGTTCGCTCCTCCATGCAGGAATATCATCGTTTGGTCGAGTGGACTTTAGACGAA